AAAAACAAAATAAACGTACAGTTAAATTAATAAGCACTATTGTTTTCAAACACAATCTAATTGCAGTTAATATATTCATGATTAATGTTACGACAGAAGAGAAAACATTAATCAGAACAATTCGGAAATCAATGATTAAAGAAATACAAAATTTACATAAAATTTCATTTTTCTTTCTGAAACAAAATTCATGTAAATGACTTCATATCAAATGTAATTTTAATTTTACACAACAGTCAAAACTTTCTGTACTTGATTGTCTATAAGTTAATTAACGAATATAACATTGTATTAAATACACAAGACGAAAAACCACATTAAACATCATGACAAATGTGAAGATGAATCAGAAAACTAAGCGGGAACCAGAAAACAACATGACTTTTGTAGATGCAAACTCGTTTTAGCTTTGAATCTTTTAAAGAAATGAGTAAGTTTAAAAAAATTGTTCAAGCAATGCATATTTTTTTTTATATAAAGCAAAAACGCTGCTCCACCAAAAAAATGTTAACGACATGGACAATCCAGTATATGGTGCAAGAAAACACACCAAGTATGGACATACGGTAGGTTAGCACTATTCAGGTGGGTGCAAGGTGACAAAAAGTCATGAGTTACGTGATTATTAGAGGAGAAAAGGTTCTATGTTCCTGGAAGTCTGGGAATTCGATACAAGAAATAATCACAATGCTCGGAAACTATTAACTTACTGTGCATGAAATTTGCCAAAAATATCAGGAACCAAATACTATAACATTTAAAAAATGCTCAGGTCATCCCAATAATGCTGCTAATATGTGACAGAATTTTGTAAATGTTTCAGAAATCATCTTTTCAAGAAATTGTTAGTACCAAAAATGGCCACACTTAACAGGAACCATAGATGTGGTCTTTTCTGCATACTCTCCATGAGTATGTGCATTTTGGAAGGATAGAGGCACACAAACCATACATCACCCAAAAGAATGCTTAAAAATCATTATGCATAATGGAGATATCTGCTTCATCCACTTTCAAAGTGATGAACTGTGGGTCTGAAGGACAATAAGTGAACATTAATATTAAATACCTTGTACCAAATGACAAAGGTTTTGTTGAAAGTATTATGGTGTAGATTGCTTTTGAAACCTACCTGTGAAATAAGTGCATGTCTGAGTGCCTATGAATAACAAGAAATCTTAGATGAACAGTTCCAAGGTGTCATGGAGGAGTTTAATGGCCAATAAACCAAAGTTTTAAATCCGGCTGAATACTACCATGCTTCACAAAGCATATATGACCCATTTGAAAGTTACAATATCAACAATCTGGGTTTGTATACTCCAGGGCCCATATTTTAACCCTATACTATATATATTTGAGACTATCTAGAGGGTATTTAATTCAAAAGGTTAGGCCACAACCTACAAGCCCTTACTAACTGGCAAGCTTTAGAAATGGTAATGAAAACAGATTGTATTAGTTTTATCAACCCAAGCCTCCTTGACAGAACCATTTGCAGTACAGTAGCAGTTATCTAGGTCAAAGGTAATTGTACTCTGTGCTAGGATAACGAACACTAGACACTTCCTATACGATTACATGACTGGATACTTTTGGCAAGACAGTATCTACTACCAATAATGCATTAAACTAACTGAATTGCCATTTTTTGAGGTGTACACCTAGTGACAAGATCATATGCTTTTAAAAATATTTTGAAGCTGATTTCAAGAACTAATTTCTAAAACATTTTCATCAATTAATGACGTAAAACTGAAATAAACGGCATTTAAAAACATGAACACAGAGTGTAATTTTGCAATTTTCTGGAAGAGTTTTGTCCTTCATAGCTCAGCAGTTTTAGTGATCATGTAACATTTTAAACGTCTATTCTTTCCAACAAGACTATACAAGTAATTATATACTTCATTGAATCTACATAACAAGTAATAAGAAAATTATGTATTATACAACTTTAATAGCTTATTCCTTATAAAAAACAAAAAATCATACACCATTTAATGAACTAGTAAAGTTTAACTTTAAAAAAATATTTGCTTTAAATGAAAAAAAAACACATTGAAATTCTACTGTTGTTTTCTGACGTTTTGTAAGATGATGTTTTCCTAAACCTCATTCGACAAAAAATTGTCCTTTGATGAAGAAAATATTTACATTACCTGATAAGCAACAATAAAGAAAAACCTTATGATAGTCAAAACATTTTATTGCAAACTCTTGAACAATATTTATACTTTTAAAGGAATTTCATTTTGAACCTAATCTATTCATAAAGTATCACAGAGATCAATCCTTATGGATTTCCGTTTTCTTTAATGCACTCTTATCATCATCAAAAGAAACAATTAAACTATATGCTTGACAATGCAGTGACAATTTACATTTACATACTACATATACTAATTTAAATACAATGGATGTTCCTATATTTGTTCTGGTGAAAACTCAAGAACAGTCACTGTTTATTAACATATCTGAAAATATCTGCCTTGTATCATACTGAATAGCTTTTCAGATCAAGTCTTTTCCAAGGAATGTTTTTCATTATTAAAAATGAATGTAATTCTCAGCAAAATGGAAATGGTAAACATTCTGAAAATAATATACAACTTTTGAAAACACCAGTAAAATATCTTAAACAGTGTTTATGAGAGCACTAAATATACAAATATTACCAGAAAGTCTAATGTGTAAGTATATATATATAAATATATTTATATACAAAATTGCTAAACTGTTTATATATATATATATATATATATAATGCTCCAAAAAGTGGAATCATCTTTTGTTTGAGCTTAAATGTATATTGAAGTCAGCTGTCACACTTATATACCATAAAATACTAGAATACTGACTGCTTGAAGTAATCCTAAAAACTGACAAAGTTTTTGACAGACCATTATGTGAAATCATTTTGTTACAAGGAAACAACCTGAATTCTTCTATCTGCAAAACATTTTTAAACCTAAGATTATTTAAATACACTAAAATATAAACAAAGAAGAAGAACTGAAAAAGAGGTAATATTATAATACAACTTGCTACTTTATTCTAGTGACTCTTCTGGTGACCAGTGAGTCTGATACTTGGATGCAGAAGAATAGTTTGATTTCATTAGATGTTTTTACTTAGCCATTAGATGTGTCAACCCTAGGCTTACCTGCTTTCATTTGCAAAGTTTATTATTATCATTAATTACCACTGACAGAAATCAAAAGAAACATTAGAATCAAGGAATCAGGGTTAGCTACCTACTCAGGTGAGATTTTAATGGAATTTCACTGACTTTAAAATACTAGAACTTATATTGGGTTTGATTTGCTGCAAAGAACACATGTATATCACAAAGCTAAAGGATAACACTGACCACATGCACCTGTTGGCAGAATATCTTTAATTTACTACTGTTTTTAACAGCTTCCTATTTGTATATAAATCAGTTTAAGACAGGTGTCTTTGATAAAATGAGTTCATTGAATTCACAAGATAACTATATAACACAATGATATTGATATGCATATAAAGTATCAAATACATTAAATCATTAGTGAACACTGACAAGCAAATGTAATTGCTGTATCTCACTACACACCTACTGGGTTAGTGTACACAAAGGAAGTCTCACTTTCTACTTAATAGTAAATTATTCACACAAAGTCAGAGAAAAATCTCTGATATGCAAGAATTTAGACTATTCTTACTGTACTCCCACACACCTTATCACAATTTATACAGGGAAGAACGATTCAGACTGCTGAGTACTGGTTCATAATTGTTCCCATAGATATGTAGTTCTGAGAGCTACAAGACCAAGGTATATTGGTTCCAGTCATAATGAAAATAGTAACAGAGAAAAACGTTTAAAATATCAACACATATAAAATAAAACCACTAAATCTATTGAACAAAGAAGTTACTGGGGCCGAGATCATTGACAGGTTATTAAAACAATGCCATACTATGTGCTTGGTTTTATAAATTGCATTTCAAAGGTTCATAAAAATAATTTTGTTTTCATTTTCAATAAAGCTTACAAACTATTATTCAGAATCTAATTGGTATTTCTATAATAGAAATCATGAAAGGAAGCAGAAGATTACATATTGCTTTATCATTATGCTTAATTAAATAGTTATCTGAGGCTTCATAACTAGTTTAGAGGTGTCATTCACAACAATTTCAGTCAATGAATGGTTTCTTAATCTTGAACAGATCCTTTCCAACACAGTAATTACTCAATTACTAACTGAATACTAAGTATTTAAAACTAGTCATCTGTTCTGTTATGTTGCACTTTATATGACTTGTGTAACATTTGTATGGAATGAAAGTATAAAGACCATCTGAAATAACATGCATAAAATACAGTACATGATTACTAAATATTCATTTTATAACCAGGTCTTAAACATTATTTTTATTCCTGATATTTCCTCTAATACTTCTCTCTGAAGAATGTGATAAAACACTTAAATTGTTTTCTCAATACTAAAACTTTCAAAGGACTGTGTAACAGAATCATATTCTCTGTAATCTATGCTTATCACACAATGAGAAATCACTATATTCACTTATTCATGTAATTGACTGAATATGAGAGTTACCCCATTCATTCACAATTTTAACAATTAATGTCTTAAGGAAGGCTACTGATAACACTATTTTGTGGTGTGGATTTATAAAAAAATGCATATATGACATTACATCTGCAATAATTCACCTTCTCTTTCTCTATAGTTAAAAAAATAGATAAAAAAATGGTTTCCTTTAGATTTTTTTAGCAACACTTCTAGAATGCAGTTATGGATAAAATATATTGCATGATTAAAATAGTTAAATGAAATACCCATTAGGGTAGATTATGTAAATGTTTCTAGTATCTTGTGAAAATATTTTCTTTATTAGTAAAATAGTATTCATAGGCATCTTTACCAAGGAAGACACTGTTTGAAATCACTTTTTTCTGTACACATTAGTTTTTACTTTTTTTTTTATTATAAGTGTTTTGTTATTTTTTGCCCTGTTATTTAATATACATTAATAACCTGAAACCTCAAAGATTAATATAAAAGATTGCACAACTATTTCTCTATTCTTTCAGGGGTGGAAAAGATTTCCCAAGATCCCGTAATGGTGGTAGAGAAGTTCGAGCTGCTCGAGTAGACATCGTCCTGTGTAATGTCTTGATTTTCTGTTGTGCAGTATTTGTTAGAGACACAGACTGGGTTCTTCGCAGTCGACAGTCTGAAGATGTTTGTTCTGGAAAAATATTAGCTGGAAACACAAAAGAAATATTGAGATTATTCATTAAAAGGGAAATGTATTTACAAATGTATCAGTTAAATATTTAGTTTGTGACTCTATTCTTTACATTAAAGAATTTGCTTCTTTTTTGTTTTTGAAATACGAAAGATATTTTGGTTACAAATTTGAAACAATGAACCTATAATGTCATAAATGAAATAGGAAAAGACTGCACCCTATAAAATGCATTATGTATCACATTTTATGTTTCATTACATGTTTGTGAAACAATGTTCTAAATAAACAGCTGTTGTAATTGATAAATGAAATAGAGGATGTTTTAGTAAGGTTTAAAAGAAGTTTATTCTACTTAAATGACACACTGGTTTAGAATTATGTAAAAGTGGTACACCAACTACTGGTCTTGTTTTGTTAAAGGATATAGATACTGCTGATATGCAAAAACAGGAACAGACAAATAAAGCAGTAAAATAAACATCTAAAAAGAAGACACAAACATTTAAATGAGCAAAAAATTAGCATTGTTATTTGAAATGAAATAGAAGTTTCTATCACTGTTATTTGTTATTCTTCTGACTATCTGTTAAGATGTAGAACTTAAATTGATCTTTTTTACTGGTCAAATTGGTATATAATTTCATAAATGTACACTTTCATTCACCTGATAAGCTGACATGATTCATGTGCTACTTCCCTTAAAGAGAATCTTAATCCAATCAGCATTGATGGACATACATGTGGTAGAAAAAAATGTTTCACATTCTTCAATAAAGTTCCATTAGAATGATATCAGGTAATTACATGCATAGGGTACAGTAACAATCTTAGAAATGGATATGCAAATGACAGTCATATAATAAGACTCAAGAAATCAGACTTTACTTCTAGTTAAATACATTGTATTGTAAGCTTCAGGAACAATAGAGAAAGGAGTGAAGCACAACAAAGACTGAGAAGAAGCCAAACACAACTGAGGGAAATAAAGCTGGCAAAATTACCCCAGTGCTATGACAGAAGCAAATGAGAGCTTCAAAATTTTGATGGTCTAAACAAACACGTTTTTTTTTAAAAACATACACATGATTTATTAAAACATTGTGAACACTTTATTTTTTCTGTTACAACATCAATCCCAACTAATTTAGCTCAGCTGGTATTTTTGTAAGCCAAGAATCTTTATACCCAGATTGCTGGCCCATTCACCAACCATATAGGACGAGCATGTCTGGAGATGGGGATTCAAACTCGTGACCCTCAGATTGTGAGTTAAGCATCCAAACCAGTAGGCCATGCTAGTTATTAGTGTTAATGTGGCTTATGAAAATGACTGATATTAATGCTAAATTAGTAAACTGTAGGATATACAATTAACTACTATACATATAAACAGTACTAAGCAATATATTTAAAACAATAAATGTGTTTTTTATACTAATTCTTTCCTCCTTTTCCTCTACCCAGTTGCTATTCTTTTTTCAAATAAATGTCAACCTTAAAACATATTCATACAAATTACTCAGAAAACTTACCAAAAGATCGTTCTTTTTCTTCTCTTGCACTTTTCAGACGAAGAGTTCTAACTCGCTGAATATAGGCTTTACGTGCTAAGATAGCATTTTTCATTATAAATGGTTTGTCAGCATCAATCCTGGCTTCTTCAGCAATGTGCTCAAAATATTCTGAAAATTACATTTATTTTTATTCTTAACTTTATTTAACTGGAGTTTATTACAAGATATTTTTATAAACGTAAATAAAATAACGACCTATATCTCCAAAATGTAATTGGTTTCCATTTACATTCAACTGGATTAGTGAACTGGTAGGAAATTGATAGCTCCTGATGAAGCTGTAATAGCAAAATATTGAGCTAATAAAATTACATTCTGGAGATACAGGTCGTTATTTCATTTAAGTTTATTTTTGTTGTACTTTGCTAAATTAGAAAAATATGAAGGTGGTTTATGGTTCTATTTTCTGACTATAATAATTATCAATGGACTTAATAAGAACGGTTTGTTTGTTTGGAATTAAGCACAAAGCTACACAATGGGCTATCTGTGCTCTGCCCACCAGGGGTATCGAAACCCGGTTTCTAGCGTTGTAAGTCCACAGACATACCGCTGTGCCACTGGGGAGCTAATAAGAACGAATAGGCTGAAATATATTGGACACACACACACACAAGCCAGCAATGCTTAACCCAATTATTTATCTCTCTTTGTTTAAAGTATGGTATACCTGTACAACTTATCTCTTTCTGCATATTGTGAAGACACTGTCCAGCAACATCAGCATTAACCATCTTTCATGAAATTCTCTTATCTATACATACAGCTGCAAAGTAATTATCCATACAGTTATACTATAGTGCTCTAAAACACTTTCATAACTTATTCTATTGAATGTATGAGGTTCTACATATGATCTACAATAGTTATTTCAGATACATGTTGATGAAAGATTAAGAAAAAATCAAACTATTCAACAATTTCACCATAACTAATCCATGTTAACTAAATCAATAAGATATTCAGCTTAAGTTACTTCTGTTGCTCTCTCTCCAATATTTAAATCATGTAGTTATACATTCTAAACATTTATATTACATTCTAGATATCAATTAACTCCTTTGCAATATCTTAAAGCTCTGTTTTTCCTATTGCTTGTTATATGAGATCCCACTTCTTTATATATTCAATACACCTTCACATCATCAAATTATATTATTAATTCATTCTCTTAACTAGTTTAATTTAAATATAAACTAATTTGTATAAAATGTTTTTTTTAAATCATTTATGGATATGCATGTCTAGGAGTTTGTACTTAAAGACCACAATTCTGATTCTCCAGCTCTGTGGTATGCATATTCAAATACATTTTGACAATATTCTGGGTAACATTTAACTTTTTTTATTGTATTAAAAATCCCCTCTTCATTCAAAAATTGACAAATAATTTAGAAAGAAAATTGTTCTTTAATTTTCATTTTACCTTTTGTTACATACTATATACCCATAATCTTACCACTTTTGTTTATGTTCTGAAGACAGTTTAAAGAGGAATTATTTTTATCCTTAATACCACACACAGTAATCCTAGCAATTCTATTTCATCTCAGTTGAAACTTAAGTCTTCATTATAAAAACATTTTCTGTACTTCAAAAATTATCTTAGATTCACACTTATTTAAATTATGTGATACAAAAGTATGGAACACATATTCTCATATTTTGATAGTTACATGGTTATTATTTTTCTTTTTTTTTAAATACATGAATAGACTCCTTTCAAATGTTTAAATCGTGAATATTAAAATTTTATACTTTTACTTTTCATAACCTTTGTGAATATAGTTACTGGCTATATTGTCAGAAATAAAAATTAGCTTATTAGCACAAATGATAATCACCACCACTCTAGAAAATTGAAAGAAGATGCAAAAATTTTCTGTGTTTATGTTAGACATTTATAAAAAAAAACAAACAGAAAGTCCCTTTATAAATTAGTATGATTAAATACTTACTTTTTAAGTTCTTCACATCAGGTAGAAGCTTTTCTCTCATCAGCACACTAGTGGAATCACATTTTAAACCTACTTCTAATCGTTGTAAAGATTCTTCTGCTTCCTTAAGTTTGCGCTCTGCTGACATACGAGCTATAATTTCCTCCTGAATAACAATATTACATTTTATATTATCATATAACACAAAAAAGGCTCTTAACTAATCATTGTTCATTATTGAGCTATACAGTTTGCATATCACAAATATCCCTTGACTACTAAAACAATAAAACTATCTCCATGACTTTATAAAACACATATATTGGTAGTAATATATATTTTAACACTCAAACCCTGAGTACATTGACTAGATGCTCTTCTTGTATGGTTTGTTTTATTGCATTTAAAAAAAATAAAACTTCTGAATGAAATTTTTTGAAACTAACTCTAAGCTTTCTAGAGGTTATGCAGCTTCTGCATCAAAGCAAAATAAAACATATCATTTCTATATGGAGTATTATTATGAACTCTAGATTTGAAATATTAAAAAATGCTTAGATTTCAAATTACAGTGTTTTATGTATTCCTACAATTATAAAGTTTTCTATTCAAGTTTTTATTCTACAAAACAGTATATTCTATCTTTGTTTTGATTTGAAAAATATCACATGCAGTCACTGGTGTACAATAAAAATTATTAGCAAGTGATTTTTCTAAATCATTAATTAGAAGGTTTAATTTAATGTATGTAATAAGGTTTAACTCCATTTTACATTTACTTGCATATACTTTTTAGATTTCTTTTCGGTGATTTTCTTTACCCATTCAAGCAGTTTCTTAGGCTGACAAGGCCTACCACAAAGAAGGCTTAATAAACAGCAGCCTTGTTGGCAAAAGGAAACTTGAAATAACTGAACACAAAATCATCTTAGTAAGCCCATCTCAACAGGTGTTATGAAAAACATTTCTTTTCCTATCATACTGTAGCTTCGTAGTCCAAATGAAGTATACAATGATAAGGGAAGCTTTTGACAAGCTTCAAAACAAACAATTCAGGACTGCAAATATGGTGGAATTCGCTCACAAACATCTTTACTTCTAGAAACATAGAAACAAGTTATGCAATTCTCCAATGATCTGGAAGCCATATTAGGCTACACATTTGAAAAGAACAGAAAACGAGCTTTCATTACTATTTATATCATTAGCCTTTTATTTCTCAAAGCTACAATATATGAAATTACATCACACCATTACAACCAAAGTTGTGAAACAGTGATTGGCTAAAATTGATAAAACTACACTTGTACTGAAGTTACAAGTTCCAAATTGGCAGTGTTTTGTTCAAATGTATTTTGACTTTCCTCTCAGGGGCTTTGAGTGCTGTATTCATGGGTGAAAGTATACAATGATCATTTTGACTGAAGCTAGAGCTTTGGAGGCTTAAATGGCCCCAAAAGCTCTGGGGTTGTACATGTTCTCAGATACATTATGAGCCATTTTGTACAACTTTCATGATTCAATTTTAAATTGACTTTCTAGATAAAGAAAATTCAGGAACCACAACTTGTCTTGTTACCTGATGGACCAATCTGATAATCGCACAAGGCTAATTAAATTTTTTAAATGTTAATGCTCAAACCTTACACACGTATATCCAATTAATTTTTAAAGTCTCAGTTGCACAAGAAAAAACATATCACTGAATTAACCAGTTATAACCCATTCCTTGCATAAATTAAAATGGTTAGACGTTTAGACTAATAAAGATTAGAACAGTGTTGGAAGTAAAGTGCAAAATGTCTTTATTTCACTTAAATCATGCCTGGGAAAGGCCACATTGAGGGATTTCCATCTACAGATGGTGAACTTTCATCCATGGCTGTAATACACTAAAACACTGATGTTTTTATTTGGAGTGTGGTGAAATAAAACCCAAAATTTTTAATTTTTAAACATTTTTATGCAGGAAATTAAATAAATTACAATTTTTATTGAATAAATTACAACTGGGAAATAGTTAAAAAGAGTGTGGAAGAACAACGTAATGGAGAAATTCTAATGTTTGGGCAGGATGCACCTGGTCAAGCAACACAAGAGTTAAGTAATATATTCTTTCATTCACTTAAGGTCAGAAATTATATTATTTTTCTAATAAAGAACACAGGAGCTGACAAGCAAAATCAGTATTAAATATATTTTTTTACTGTATTCACAATCTAATGAGACATTTTACTGTGCCTGGTATGGTAATCACAATGACACACAGTCAAAGATCCAATAAACTGGGTGGACGTAGTTGTGAAATCAAAACAGTTTTTTGTGTGTTTGTTGCCTTGTGGTTATTACTTATTTATGTTATGATCCCATTGTGTATTATTTAGTTCTTTTTTTAATTCAAATAACAGTGGAAGACTATATATTTTTACCACCTCAAATATTTTAAATTATTTTATGTTTCAGAGAGATAGATAAGTGTCTTATTGCATGGTGTCTCTGGCATTTTATAAAAAACTATAATTTCTATATTGTAGGGTAGGCCATGCTACTAGTTAAGTACATTGTGACTGCAGGACATGTCTAGGCACTATCCCCATCCCCAATATTTAATATCTTCCAAATTCCACTGAGTAAAGAAACAGTTTTGTTTCGAAACGAACACTTTTTTATTCTGAGCCAAATCACAATTAACAAACAGATTACTCACTTGGCCTGATAACCATGCTTTAACAAAATTTTTCAATTTAGAGCCTTAAATGATGTTTTCTAACCCTAACTGCTTATACCTTAGCTTAAAAATGGTAATAGTATGGTTACTTAAAGTTAAATACATTTTAAGGGTTTTTTTGTTATTCAGCACATGGCTACACAATGTGCTATCTGTGCTGTGCTGACCGCAAGTATCAAAGTAGGAAATTATAGCATTGTAAGTCTATAAACATAAAAGTGAAACACTGAGGGAGGGGACACCTAAAAATGATATTCAGCTCACTTCATACATGAGTAACAGAATCAGACTCGAACTTCATGTATTAATGAAGTTTACTCAATGCTACATGCTAGGAGAGAATTCTGGAAATGTTTTATTTCTATATTTAAAAGAAACTCCTAACAGGTGAGTTACTATAAGAATTTCATTTCATGAAGAACTGTTGAAAAAATAAGACCTTAGTATAAAAAATTCAATAGCCCAAAAGTTTATATTAAGTTTTCACTGTTTATTGTGTGTCATCTCCTTTTGAAAAGTTTTCTTAAATCTACAAAATCTGTTAACTTTCTTAACAACTGGTTACTTTATGGCTATTTCTTAAATATATTTTTGTTAATCTATCAGGGATTGAGATCTTCATATGACAGTGTCAACAAGCGAGTACATCTGAGTAACAATCATTATTTGACTTGCACTTAGCTAGTTCACCTTTACGACTCTACATGTCTGCTCCTGCAAGCTCCACAGATCAGAACAACAATCAGACATATAATACTTTCACTTTTCTATGAGAGTAGAAATTAGGAATACTGAACTTGTTCTACAGAGCTAATTGCCATTTTCAAGTTTATCTTTATTTTTAGAAAATATATAACAATAGGCATAAAATATATGAAAAAATCATCCAAATCTTAGATGTTTTTTAGGCCAACAGGTTTCTAATGTTTTACCAGCTTTTGGCATGTAAACCATAACTTTTAAAGATGTATAACAGTTCATGAAATATTTGAGTTGGTAAACTTTGAGCTGGGTTGATAAGCTAAAAAAAAATTATTAAACTCTGACCTATATCATATTACTAGCAGATGCTTGTTGAAACAATTCAATGGTAAATTCCCTATAAATAGTGATGAATATATAAAAAATGTACAATTAACCAAATGCCTTGGATCATATCTTATATGCAATACAATTGTCTTGTGGACAGTTTACAACTGTACTTTGGCATTCCATGTGCAACTGCAATAAGAAAAATTGCATTGCACTTGTTTTTAAAGAAAGAAGACAAACTGCTATGCACTGTTGGCAAAAATGTTTGGGTTTTGATTCAATGGGTGCATCCAACACAACAGGGGGCTCAGGTTCACTAGGTAACTGCAGATATTTTTTTCTGCTGGATGCCACCATTTCTTGTCATTTTACTGAGTGCCAGAAAAGGTTGGTACTAAAGAGTGCTTTTTTGACAGTTACATTTCTCTAAGAAGTGTCAAAGTGGAGATATTCAACTCACTTCAGATCAATTTCTTCAATATGGTACAATAAAATCATGCATGTATGTTTTACCAACATTAATATATATATATAAACCAAACAACAATAAATATATACTCAAACACATTGCTCTCTATAGGAATTTTTTCTGTCCAAGTTTCTATCTTTGAAATATTTCTTTCAATCAGTCAATGGAGGAAGTCCCATTTTGTTTTGTGAAATTTCCTCACAAAAAGAAAAATTTCTGTTCTTAATAAGTTTTTTTCTCAGATTGACTATTCAGCACATATGAAGACTTAATGGATCAATATTGATATCGATATGAAATTTCTGTAATTGTAAAAAATGAATAATATTCCTGTAATGTACTCTTGAAAATAAGCATTTTGATATATAACTTATTTTCTACAATTCACTATTTAGAAGATACAGTGTGAGACAGACATCTGGTTAATATATATAAGTGTTTATGTTGTGGGAAGAAGTTTACTGATGTAAAATACTTACTTTAAGTTCTGTTTCAGTCACTTCTTTCTGTGCTTCTAAATCCTAGTATGTAAAAATCAAATTAGTAAATTTACATTGATCTTAACTCTATTTTACTCATATTTTTCATTTCATATGTATACATTGTACTCTTTGCAGAAGTACAAAATAATAATAGAAAAACTCACATTTGTAAAAATTATTTTAAAGAATCATATTAAATATTTAAAAAAAATATGCTTTAAGGTAAATTATCAAACAATAAAAGTAAAGAAGAGGCCTATGTGATAATCAAAAAGAAAATGTGATATATAGAAGATTTACTCTCCATTTATAGAGCAAAAAACACTCCTAATGGCATGTATATGTAATTTTGAAGAGCTTATAGTTAAAACATCTCATGTAAACATTTTTTAAATCATATATAAATATACATAAACAGTTTGAACTAGGGGTAGGTATAGCAATACAAATTATTAACATTTCAATTCTAAATACAGATCAATATACAAGTATAAATTTTACTGATCATAAAAAAACTAATTCATCCTACTATATTACTGAAATCATTTCTCTGTCCCTCTCAAATGCTTTTGTCTTAAACACTCTTTGGGTTGAGATGAGCCTGAATGGCACTCATGCAGACCCAAACAAAGCTGACCAATAATTGTTGCTGCTATATTTCAATCTTTTACTACTGTTCACTCTTGGCTCGTTCCAACAGTAATATCCTCGCCAGAGCTGTATGTATGTATTGACAGTTATAAACAGGATTAAAAAATGGAAATGATTTTTTATTAAATGAAACAGCAGAATGACAAGTGAACCAAGTTGGTATGTTTAGTATTATAATCAAAGAAAACTTAAGCTCCAAAATAGAAATATTTAATAAGTAATGATTCAAGTTAACTCTCTCACTATGGGCTAGGTCAATTCAACCAAGTTTGTGATCCCAAATTGACCTGTAGAGTTTCCATACTATAACTTTAGCTTTCAGTAAACATTGTAAGTCTTTTGTAAACAAAAAAAAAAATTTTAATGACGTAATTTTACTAAAGATTTCTCTATGAATATATGGAGTAAAAGTGTTGATTGCTCCATGTGCAAAGTGATTTTCATCTTAAGATTAAAAATACTTTTCTCCATCTGAAAATCATCAAATTTTATTTGCATAATCTCTAAAACCTTGTAAATAAATTTCAAAGGTTTTTTAGTAAACTTTATATTTTTCTGTTACTTTTCTCTGCCCTATATTTACACCGACCTTGACCTCGTAGCCACCATAAACAAAAATGAAATAAATCTAAGTTCCCTTCATTTCTTTCTAGAATGATATCATATTGTAACAGGAAACTACATCCGTTTACTCTAAATAGCTTAAAGCATATAACAGTATACATCTGTTTCTACTTAAATTTTCTTTTACTGCACTTTGAACTGTGTCTAACTAATAATCCCATTATATGAGATGTAAATCACTCAGCAAAAGCATAGCACACATTACCCAATTTAATTACATAATGCACATGCTATTCACAAGCATATCGCATGAAAATTTATTATTATTTGTCTTTATCTTTTCTAATCTAACCTAAACATTTCTAATTTTAACATTTTAATTACTTTTATAATAATAAATAAATAAAGAATACACATGAAAAACAAGAAATTCTATCATAATTTATTTTACTTTCTAACTATGCGATAAGAAACATTAAAAATTCAGGTAAATTTGTCAATGTGATTTCAATGGGAATAAAGTTTGATCTGGAAACAAAATAGACAATTTCCTGTACAGGAAACAATGTAATATGAATACATCATTTGATAGATTAAATTTTAGGCTTTCTATTGGTTATAAATAATGTAGCATTTGATGTAAGAGAGAACTATTGGCAATTTTTGAATGAAATGATATGACAGGCAGACATGGCAAGTGGGTCTGATTTTCTTGTTTATGGCTCCATAAACAAATAAGATTGAAGGCTATAAAAAGTATGTTATACCTGAGTAATAACTACATCATAATGAGTAACTTACATTAAATTCTGAATTTCTAGGAGGTGTGGTAAATAAATTAGAGAAAAAGAAAGACCTAGAGTGCAAATATCACAATTCTCATACTAGGGGAGATTGAATACTTTTTCAAATATTAAATAATGCTTTTAAAAGTAAGAACTTAAAACTTATATAATATTAACATTTGATAATAAAGTAGTTTAATTAAACTTTGGATATAACTCTAAAAAGTCATGATATATGCACTTTGACCTGCCCCTGGTGAGAGAGTTAATCTCCTAATCTGACCTCAATAAAATGTTCTTTAACTCCAAGATGTTGGTTCCTTGTTGATGAAGTGGCTGGCCCAAATTAACAATTGCTGAATCCTCAAATCTGATATTAACTTCAATAATATACAGCATTAGTTTTAATTACTGTTTAACTCTCTCACTACAAGGTTGGTCGAATCAACTGACCTCATAACCTCTTGTATTTATTATAGTTTTCATACTATAACTTTAAGTATGCTTTGTGTATCTTCACAAAGTTTGGCAAACTTTTAGTAAACATTACAAGTCTTTTGTACACAAAAAATATCAGATTTTTTAATGAAGTATTTTTATTAAAGAGTTGTCCATGAATAACCATGATATAAAAGACTGTTTGGTTTAAATATTAATGATTAATTTATATTTGTGAGTGAATATTTTATTATTTTTAAGATTTGTTAAAATAAAAGGTAAAAGTAGACAATTGTAGAAGGTTTTGTTAATAACTAATTGGTGTCGAGAATATAGAAAGTGGCCATATGACTATGTAATAAAGACATAAATAGCGTGAGATGAGCGGGAAGACAGACAGTATTAGACAGATAAAAGCAAAGAGAATATAGATGGTGTAAAGTTAAGTACCGTAAAAGTGATAGGCCTAATGACTGACATAGGCCTGATGTTTAATATGTTAGAGTGAAACTAACAGTATAAAACAAGATAAGATAAGCATGGTTCTAAAGAAATTGAATCATCCTGGGTACACTTTGACAAAAGAAGCAGAGGATCTTCAGAAGAAAGAAGACCAAATGAATTACGGTAACTTGTGCCACAACTGTAAGTGCATCACACATAAAATACTAGTACGATAGTAATATAGAGAAGATAGTTTGACTTGTCAATCACAATTCTAAAGTAATTGAATAGGCCTTAGTGGACTTTTGACAAGAAGAAGAGAACTATATAAATAGTGTTTATGATATGCCTGTAATCTCTATAGTGTGAAGACTTTTTGTACATACTTTTAACTTGTTCCAAATATATATATTATTTGAAAACAAGTAAAATGTGCACTGTTTGCTCATTGTTGAATTTATCACTAACAAGTCACAGACACCTACTGAAGAAGAATCCTAAGCCTAACAACAACATAGTATATATTTATACTATTAAGAAATATAAGTAAAAGCCATTTATTTCAACAATTGGCAAAAAGAAGGACTTGTATATATATAATATTATTTTTTTAAAGCTGAAAAATATATATATAGTATTTTTATATACTGGTCCAAGTGCAAAGTGATTTCCACGTCAAGATTAAAAATACTTTTCTTCATCTCAAAAATCTCAAATTTTATTTGCATAATCTCTAAAACCTCCTAAATAAATTCCAAACACTTTTTTTCAGTAAAACTTTATACTTTGTCTTTTATATTCTTTACCTTAACTTTATACATGGTTGGTAAATTTGACTGACTTCATAACCACCAAAAAATAAAAAATAGAAATAAATCTAAATTACCCTTTTTCTCTCTCTAGAATGACTTTAAATTGTAATATGAGACTACATTTGTTTATCCTAAATATATTTAAACTCATAACAGTGTACATCTATTTATACTTAAATTTTATTGCTTTACTGGCCTTTGAACCCTGTTTAACTAATATTCACACTGCTAGTGACACAAGTAGTCGCTCAATGGTTTGAGGAGCATGATACTGCAGTTATCCATATGGCATGGCCTTTTCAGTCACCAGATCTGAACCCAATTGAGCATGTATGGGATATTCTGGAACGACACCTGGGACCGTGTTTTCCACTTCCATCAACTAGGTGTGAGTTGATTGTCTTGTGCAACAGTGGTGTCACATTCCTCCTGCAGAATTCCAGCTACTGGTAGACTCAATGCCATGGTGCAAACAGGCTGTACTGGCTGCACTTGGTGGCCCAACACCCTATTAAGTGACTTTACATTAGTGTTTCCATTTTCATGGCCATTACCTGTATCATCTGTAACCAATAGAAAGTCAAGGTTTTCATCTATCAAATGATGTATTATATTATGTTGTGTTCTGAACAGATAATCACCAATTTCTCTTGTAATACAAGCTTCATTCTCAAGGGAAAGACAATGGCTAGCTTGGATGAATTTGTAACTTCTCTTGTTGCAAAGACAAAAAAAAAATTGTGATTGTTAGAGGAAATTGTCTGCTTTTTGCATGTTATTATTCTATGTTCTTTGGTTCATT